ACATGCTGAGAACTGGTTGTTCTCAGAGGGTGTGTAACCAGCATCTCCGCGTCCCTTTTGGTTAAGGGCTCTGTCACTTCTCTCTCCCTTTCTACCCTCTCTGCACCTGGGGACATTCCTTGGTGTGGCTCTGTGCTTTTTACCCCTGTTGTCTGCTTGATAGTCCTTCACAAGCAGGCAGACCTCAAACGCTTCTGCCCAAAAGAGGCCAGTGTCACGTTGCTCCTGTGGTGCCACCTTCCCAGGGTGCTCTGGGACCTGGGCTGCGGAGGCAGAGCCGTCCACCTCGGCTCAGTTGCAATGGGATTGGGAGAATTGCACCCCATTCCTGGAGTCACTGCTAGCCCCATCGGCTGAGTGACTGTGGGGAAGTCGGTCATTTCCTCTGCCGTTTTCTTCAACTTATCTTTCTTTAGCCTGTGAATGCCTCAGGGCTCTGGCTCACCCTTTCTTTTGTGCTTGTACAGCCCTTTGTGCGGTGGAGTCCCAATATTTCTATTGTAGTAACCGAGACTAGACTGAGAGGTGGGTGCTGGAAGGTGGCAGCTAAGATGAAAACCGAGGGGCAGGGCTCTTCTAGCAGTAGTTGCTTTCTGGTGAGGAGCTGTGATTTACAGCCTTGACTCTCCCCGCTCCATAATGAGTTTAAAAAGATGTTCTGGGAAAACCACGGTGTTTCATTACTGGCTGGTTCTTTTGGCTGCTTTCTTTGCTAATGTCCTTAATGTGCATTATTTCTGCCTGCTGTTTTTGCTATAGCCCCAACCTCTGGCGTGGGGTTGGGGTTGGATCTTAGAAAGCTTTTTGTTTTCTTTGCAATAGGCATGGGACGAAGGGGGGCAAGTATTGTTCTGGGCTGAGCAGAGAAGGGCATATAAGTCATGAGCAGCCGTGAATAGGACCATTAACCTTTGTGTTGCTGGCCCTCAAAGCTGGGGATGCTCTGCCTGCTGAGGCCTTGTGCTTTCTTTTGGATACTACTGCTAATAATACTAATAAAGGGACTGCTCTGGTGCTTCTGTGGTTTGTCTGGACCTGCTGGCTGGAACTGAGCCTGCTCTTCAGAGGGAGAGCCTCTGGCCCTCATGCTCTCTTTTCCTGCCTTTTCCAGGACAGTAGGTAGTTGCTGCAGTCTCTCTCATAATTCCTGCGTGTGGCTCACCTGCAAAGCCCTCGATGAGGAAAAGGCTGGCTGTATCAATGACTCGGTGTACACCAGCACACCCGCAGCGCCCTGTAGGCACACTGCAAATCTTGAAATAATGCTGCTTGCCAGTGAACTAATGCTGACAAGCCCATCATGCCCGAGCACCGCCCTTGCAAACCCTCCCCTCGGGCAGGAAGCTTACATAAAAATCCCCTGGTCTTGGACCCACACCCTTCCAGTGAAGGAAGACCATCTGGGCCATAACACGTATTCAGACTCCACTATTGGAAAACCAGTCCTGAGCCACTCATCACTGCCATGTGGGCCACCACCAGCTGCAAGCCACAGCTTGAGGTCCACTGCCCGAAAAGGCTGGCTCTTGGAGGCAGGGAGCAGCAGAGTCTTAACAGTTTCCACCTAAGCTCCACGTTTGCAAGGTCTCGAGCCTCTCAGCTGGCCTTGACTATGGGGTAGAGCCCAGAAGCAGGGAGTTTCCTTCAAGACAGAAAAGGCTACAAACTATATTATTCAGCATCAAGTCTCATTTTTTAAACTCGGAAGGACGCAGCGCTATTGAGAACCCATGTAGCGCATGGTGTGTGAAAGGCGACTGCCTTCTATGCCAGCTGCGTTTACCCAGCCATTGTCAGCAACGAAATCAGGCCCTGTCGCACCCTGATGATGCGGCTGCTAGGCTGGCGACGATGCGATAAAATAAACAGGGCACATGTGTGTTGGTGCTGCTGTGCTGTGCATTTGCCAGTGGGCCTGAGCGCAGAGGAGCAGTAGATCAGGGATGTTGCTGGGCTTGCTTTTTCTGCCCCATCTGCATGTTACGATTTTTACCATTTCAAGCCTGTCTCTCTGGCCTACAGGCAGCCAAAATTCATTTGACTCAAGTGGGAGCTATTGCTGTTTGCCAGTCAGAGGAGATCCTTCCGTGTGCACTTTGGAGCTGATTCATCCTCCTTGGCCAGTAAATGTCTCTGGTCTGTCACTTCACTAGTTTTTGTGGGAAAATCTTGGTAAGCAGCTTCCAAGTAACCACAATCAGCTGTTGTCAGGGGTGTTATTATTTGGGGAGAGAAATCAGAATGGAAAATGCAATGGGGCTGGGGAGAGTATGGTAGCTTGGGCTGCTTAAAGGGCTGGCGGGGTGCGGGGGAACAGGCAAATTGTCTCTCTGAGCAACCCACTCAGGGCTTGTGGGTGAAATATATCGCTTGGCTCCAGCACCGCTTCGCTAATTGCCCTGGGTGCGTCACTCTCTGCTGTCAGCCTAAGGAGGCTGAGCAATCAAGGCCGCTGGGACCGTGGGGATGATTAGGCCCCGAAGGCATCAGTGACTGCGGGTAAAGCTGGGCTGCCTCAGCAGCGATTACATCTGAACTGCGGACCTCTGGCACTCGAAAAGCACCTCCATCCTGGTAGGCTAGAAGGCAAGTCACCTAGCAGAGTGTAAAGAGCAGGGTTGTGTGCTGAGAGAAGATAAGAGCAGTGAGCTCAGCCCAGGAGGCTGGAAATGGTCCTTGCTGCTAGTTTAGATGCAGATAACCCGTTGAGGATGCTGTCTGGTAGCCATGTGGGAAGAGTGGGACCTTATTCCTCTGCCCAGTGTGGCACTGTCTGCCCTCCTGCAACGTGCTGTAGAAACCTTTCTGTCTGCTCCTCCTGCTCCCACAGGCCTGGGGGCCATACCAGAGAAACCACCTTATTCCCCTGCCAGAATGATTTCTAAACCCAGTTAAGCCCTGGCTGGAGAGCAGCTGTCCATCCCTGGAAGTTTGATGTGTGTGTAAAGATCACCTGCCTGGAGTAAACCACTCATTTTCTCAAGTTAGCGGCGGTGGTTGCCAGTGCCCAGAACAAGCACAAATGCTCCATCAGCCTTAGTCAGGCACTTTTGATTTTTTTTTTTCAGTTGTGAAATGATTTCCACACTGTGAGAATTTGAGATGAATCCTGCTCTCTCAAGCAAAACCTAACCAGAGCCTGTTCTCCTCTACTGTTCTGCTTTCCAGCGCCCCCTCCAATCCCCCACTTGCTTCAGCCTCTTTGAATCCCCACCAGCTTTGCTGATGTCCCACAGGTTTCACCCATGCAACCTCCCTGCACTGCTTCATCACTCCCTCACCTTCCCCTGCCCGGTCCAGTCACAGAACTATGCCCAGGGCTCAGGTCCCTCCAGCTCAGCTCACTCAATTAAGGCAATCAAGACTCATAGCTTCAAAGCCAAAATAACTGTTCTTCATTGAAACCAACATCTTTCACTTCAGGTGCTCGGTTGGAAGTAGCTTGGCTAATATGCCCCTTGGGGAATATTTGCATATAAGACTTTGTACCTGCAGTAGGTAAAAATCTGACCATGCTGACCAGCAGCAAAGGGTGGCTATTGTACACTATGAACCGGAATAAAAATGGGGAAGATCATTAAAGAGAACAGTCATATAAGTCGTGCTTTATTCTCATCGTGCTCTTGTTGCCATGGCACCACCAAATACTTTCAAAGAACCAATCTGAATGAGATATTTTGCACACAAAAGTCTTGTTGGAAATGTCAAAGAACATCTTGAAATGTAACAGCTCTGTAAAGAGCCTCAAGCAGTTTCCCAGTAGGAAACAGGAGAAGGAAGCAGATGGGTTTCAATTTATGTGGGATGAGGCAGAGGCAAAGGCAAGGCAGCTTCGTAGCGACTGATGCTTAAAATCTAAGCCTCACCGGTAGCTTTTCTGCTTGGGTTTGGGAGCTGTGCTTGAGGTGTGCTGCCCAGTAGCTAGCCAGACTCATTTTCTGACACAGGCAGTACGGCAAATTCGAGCCAGCCAAAAGAAATGTGTTATTTTTGTATCTGTGGAGCTCAGAGTGTCAAATTGAAGCTGGCAGCTTCACTGGGGTGTGTAGCAAGACACGCCACCCCCCAAGGCTTTCTCTCCGTTTGCGCATAGGGTACCTGAGTTATGCTGGGCTTCAGATCACTTGGGGAGGTCACAGTGGGACTAGGACTCGATTCCAGGTTTTCAGGCTCCCAAACCAGCGCTGTTTCCAAAGGCCATTCTCTGTCACGACTCTCTGACCATGCTTCTGGAAAGCACATTCATAATTCCTAATGGGAAAAGATGGAGCTTCCACCCTCCAGCCTCTCCCCCTTGCACAGGTGGACCAGAATATACCCTGACTGAATTTCTTACCCATCATGACTGTTTGAGAGAGTTTATCCCTGTTGGGAACAATCTGGTAGTGACAGTCCTGGTGAATGTGAAACCCGTAGATACTATATATACATTTTATCAGACTCCACAGCAACTACTTTACAAACTAGGGAGCTGAATAAGGACTGAAATCCATTTTTTTTTTTAATTTTGAAGCCCTCCTGTTGAATTTTCTAGCAGAGATATATATAATCTGTGAAAACTCCAGAGGAGGTTTTGAAACACTTCTGCCACCCAGGGGGTCTGCTTTGCAGCTAGTACTGCAACAAGTGAGGAAAACAGCTCCAAACCATTTCATTACTGCTTAAAAGAAAGAGAAACCTCCTGGTTTGGGTTGCAAAAAAGAAATATTTTTGCCTACCTTGTCTACAACTGTTTGTATAGCAGAAGTTGGAATGTGCACTGCCCTGTGCCCTTTTAGGGTTTGCCCAGGCAAAGTCGGACAGGCGATGTTTTCAGAGTTCTGTCCCAGGTGGCCTTCTTCCATGAGTTGGAGGAGAAGGGCTGCTTTTGGTGGAGGAGGTGCCTGAGTTTCTCTCCCCACCTTGCAGCCTGGCATCTCTCTGCACAGCTAACTGGACATGCCAGTTCCTCTTCTGAACCTGCTCCTCTCTCTGGGGTGAATCACAGTGAGATTAGGGCTGGGATTTTCTAAGCCAGACCTGGGGTGTGATATGAAGCCCATGGGGTACTCTCTGCTCACATTGGGGGTTGAATCTGATTAGACGCATCCATAGAGGAGAAATCCTTCACAAGCTACCACATAAAAAGATACTGAGTCTAGCTCAGAAAGTCCATTAGCTAGAGGCCCTGGCAGACTTAGCCCAGCTACCACAACTGGTATGTGCCTGTCATGGACTCAGTCCAGTCTGGTATTATTGGTATGAATGAGAGCATTATTGATTGCACTCAGCTGACATGAAGATACCCAAGCAGACTGCTAACATTTGCATGTACAATAGCTAATCAGCTTTACAGCATGGTAAAGAGTTTTAGTGTGACCTACTTTTATTTGTTGTTTCCCACCCTACACTGTCTTGCAAAAATAGTTTCTGCTGCTTTCGACACAATGCACATTGTAATTGGAAATTCTGAATCAGATGCAGTCTCAGGAAGACTTCTGCTTCACACTGAGCTTTAGAGGACATTGATTTTGCTCGCTTTATGAATACGCATGTCCTGAAGTGATCCCCCTGACTGAGAATCTCAGCAACCCACCACCTTTGTGAGAGGGAGAAAATATCTTTGTTTTGAAACTCTGGTATGAACGAAGTAGGATCTTTTCATTTTAGAGCCCTTGGACTAGTCACCTAAAATCTGAAATCACTTCTTCAGTTTTTAGAGGTGCCTAAATAGAGAGTTGTGTGTCCTTGGTGCTGCTGAGAGTCTGCTCCTTAAAGTGCCTATATTACAGGTAGCAGAATTAGGGTGTTAGGCACATGCTAACGATTTGATTTGATGCTTATTCCCCAAACACATTGTTCATCCACGCCAACACCGGCAAGGCTCATATTACAATCCAGGCGTCCCAACTCCTCTCTTGCACCTGAGCTATTCGACTGCACTGTCTTTGGTAGCAGAGATAGGTTCAAAGCAAGCGATAGCCCATATTTTTGTGGTTTGAGGCTGGTGCTAGTTCTCCTGAGAAGGGATTTGCTATCAGCACTGCTGTTTGATTTCTCAGTGGCTCAGCTACTGCAACAAGCTGTGGCAAAGGATATCTCCTGTTGCCAGCCTCCCACAGAATCTCCTCATGAGAGCATCTCCTCCGGGTTGGGAGGGGATGGTGGAAAACCTGGAGCATCTTGCACCTACATTGGAGGAGGGATGGTTACACGGTCAATGAAAACAAGTGCTGTCTGTGCTGGTACTTGTTGTCCACCATGCCTGAGCATTCATATCACCTCTCCTGTGCTGGCTTTCACCATCATGATGACCCAGATCAAGAAGCTAATCATTTGGTGCCACCTTTTACAGGTTAGCCATCAGCCAGATCAGTTCCTGACCTCAGCCTGCTTTGTGGCTGCCCAAGCACTGTTGTGGGCACAGAGGAAGAGGCAGGAGTTTGTGAGGCGTGCTGGGACCTGGAAGAGATGAGGGACAATACTCTGGCAGCAGCATGCACTTGTATCACTTTCCAGTGGCTGTGGAAGTGTGTTTCCAGCATTCAGCGAGCAAACGAGCAGTTCCGGGAGCTTTTTCTTTTCTGCAAGGAAAAGATCCTTCCTCCCTTGTGCTGCACAGCGCTGTTTGCAGGGAGATGGCGAACTGGGATTCTGCCAGGACTGGGTCTCCCTGTGATGTGGTGATTGAGGGCCAGACCCAAACCATGCAGCATCTAGCTAAACTTATCAGCGATTGCAAGCATCCAGCTCGGCAGTGACCTTCCATGTTAACTGAGGTTCTTTTCTTCTCCCCAGGTGTCCCATGAGTTTGCCATTAACTTCAATCCCACCAACCCATTCTGTTCAGGTGAGTACCCAGCATATCTCTAATACTCCTGGCATGCCTTCAGTGTCTTCTGTCTTCTCCTTTGCATTTCACCTATAACTTGCCTTAATTTTTCAAAGGTCTGGTCAGAGCCAGACATGAACAGTGGAGTGGAGTAAGAACAACGTGCTCGCTCAAAGGAAAACAGAGGAACTTTGGGGGTAGGAGGTCCCAGCGCAAAATAAAACTGGATTCAGACTGCCTAAAATATGCCTTCATTTTGATGTGTCCCACCAGCCATCTGCTCCTACAGCAAGCTAGTAAGAAACGCTAGGCCTGGAGACCAGATGGGGAATTCAGACTTACCTGCCCCTTAGTGCTTCTGTAGTTTATTTAGGAATTGGAAGCTGATCACAGTGATTGTTGAAGAACTGCTCAAGTCATAAATGGTAGGGGCTACCATGGGCTGCAGAAGTCATCTGATTTGACCTCTGCTTTACCCCAAGGCTGGAACTTGGTCAGCCTTCAAACCTCATTCACTAGTCACTGGGTGACTATCTTCTTGCTAATGCTGGCAAACAGTTTAGAAAGAAACTGTTCCAAGGTTAGCTTATTTTTCTGCCTCCTGTGAGCTGGGAAGGACGGTCCTGGCTAACCAATTGGCAGAAAAACCTTCTTGGACAGGTTCATGGGGTGACAGAAGCAAAAGAGTCTCTGATGGCTTGCAGGTTGGAGTGGTGCTTCCCAAACACTTAAAGAAATAAGCTACCTTGTCTATCTAGTTTTTGATTACATTCAGAGACCAGGAAGTGCTTTTCTTTTTGCTCTTCATCTTTGTCTAGTATGGAGATTTTTGCAGAAACACAAGGAAAACTTTATTTGAATGTGAGTGCTGTGAGGTCTCTTTTATTGAGAAGGACTGAAAATCTACTACAAAGTGACCGATGAGCAAAGCACTGTTTTTAGAAAATTTGAGTGCAGCTAGATGAAGCTTGATGAGCTGGATGAGTTTGAGGAAAAAATGTTTTGTAACTTCAGACCACATGGAATTATTAGTGAATTATGTTTGGAACATGGAATTATACTTGTGGCTGGCTGGGACGTTGCCTATTGTAATGTTTGGCTTCTCTGGTTTCCCTGAAGGTGTGGAAGGCATTGTCCAAGCATACTCAGCCTGCCTGCCTCACATCCGCTTCTACGGACCGACCAACTTCTCTCCCATCATCAATCACGTGGCCCGGTTCGCAGCTCAGGCAACCCAGCAGGAGTTTGCGACTGTAAGTTTGACTGTTCCTCTCTTTATCGATGTCACTGCCTTGGCTCAGCATTTCGCAGCGAGTTGTTGGGTTGAACATCTAGGTGTCCCTTTGGGGATGTGAGGTCACAAAAGGACCAGGTGGAAAAGACACACTACAGAATTTAATCCACCCAGATCACCCAGACACCCTGGTAGTCATCAGCTCTGACTCTGTTGACTTCTTGGATGGTCTGATAGGTGCTATCTCTCTGGCATGGACCTCAATATGAGGAGTTGTTACTGTCCACCATCATTTAGTTATTCACTGGGCTGATGTAATCCTAGGGTGTGTCACAGCTTCCCCATAAGGATGGCCCTGCTCCTCATCTGTGAGAAGCTGCCATGGTGGATTCACTCAGGTCAAATGTAAAAGTCTGTGGCAATATGCATCACCCCAGCTTGATGGTCCAATAAGGCCATGAAAGAGATGATCCACAAGATACGGAGGAAGAGAGAGGACAGAGGGGGTGGTGGATAGGGATAGTGCTATGCTATACTAGGCCAGTCTTTACAGCCATGTGATGGTGCATTATGCCTTTGTCTGGGATCCTGGCTTTTCTGCAGGCAGTTTGTTCTCTTCTAACCTGGCACTGGAAGCAAGCATGCTCTGAAGGCAGGAGATGAATGTGGTGTACTGGATCTTACAGAGGGCACACTGAGAAGAGGTAGAGCAAAAGACTCACTGGATTACTGGGTGTTTAAGTCATCATAGTAGGCTCTGTTCACTTACTTACACATCAGGAGAGGCAAGGCCTCAGTTCCTGTGTGGGAGGAGGCTGCTGCTGGTATTTAGGTTTGTCATAAAGGGCCCTATATCTGGTGTCAGTTTGTGACTCTGGGGATGCCTCAGGACTGAGTAGGGCTGGCAAGGTGCTCAGTCCATGTTAGGTGCCTCAAGCTGGACAGGTTGTAGGTAGGGCTAAGACCAAGGCAGAGCTGCACTCGAGGACACTTTGCAGTAGCTACAGGCCTGCCTCTGGGGACTTGGGGCTCCTCGTTGCAATTACCAGGAACTTGCCTCAAACCCCAGTCGTGTCTCACAAGCTCCACCTCCAAGAGCATGACACCACTTCAGAGCCCTGACTAATGAGACCTTAAGCAAAAAAGGTTTAGGAAAATGAGCCCAGTCAGCAAGTGCCTTTGCTACTGGCAGAGTGTTTCTAAAGGCTTATCTTCCTTGGGCTCTTCCATCCAAGTTAATTGGGTTGCCCCACTCCTGATAAGTCCATAAGTGTTTCTGTTCTCGCCACTGGGATCAGGGCATCAGCCAGCCCTCTCTCCTTTCTCCTGGCAGTGGCTGACTCCACTAACAGCCTCAGTGTAAAGCCTCAGTATCTCGCTTTTCTTCAGATTTGATGGTACGGCAGCAGTCCCAAGGGGTTTTGGCAGTGGCAGTGGAAGGCAAGGCCTGAGCTCTGATTTTGTATCTCTGCTTTCCCTTTGCTCCAAAGATGGAAGCGGCGAGGCAGGGTCCTTCTACCAGGAGCATCCCTTGAGCCACAACCGCTGTGCATGGGGGAAGCAGGAGGAACCTGGGGACCAGGCATCGTTTCTGTGCCCTCCCAAGCCCACTCAAGTAGCCATAACGCTGTGGGAAACATGGTGTGGAGCCAGCCTCAACCCTGGCTAATCGCAGAAGAAAGTGCCTGGTTTGGATTTAGCAAAAAATATAATAAATTGCCAGGTGGGAGGAACAGCCAACAGGATGGCAGATGATTTGGACTGTCTGAAGTCTCATCATGTCTGTGATTTCACTGATAAACTTGCTTTCCCAGCTACATGAAATGTTTAGCAGACAAAAACTGGTCGATGATCCCAAACTATTTAGGGGAGCTGAGATTAAAGCTGTCCGCAAACAATTGAGGGAAGAGCTCCTCATCCCTAGTGGCTGAAATGCATCTGCTATTTCTTTGCCCCATGTTGATGAATGGAAAGCACTTGGCAGAGAGTTAAAACTAACCCTGTCTATAGAGCCCAGCCATGGGCTCTGTTAGCTGTCATCACTTTAGAAAGAGAACGTAGAGTCGTTGCAGATGCTTCTCAGGAGAAAAACAAAACAACAACAACATCAAAACGCAAGCTTGACAACAGTCAACAAAATTGCAGCTATTGAAAATCCAAAATTATTGGGGAGTGAATTGAAACCAAGGCAGGAAATGCCATGAGTTGTGTGTCCCTTGAATTTATACAAATGTCTTGAGTAGCATGTGAAGTTCTGGTCCCCCTCATCTCAGAAAAGATCAAATAGCCCTGGTAATGATAGTGAGAGAGTTGACCAAGATGTTGAGAGTCATGGAGCAGTTTTTCATATAAGGAGAGATTAAGACCAGGACCCAGTAGAAGAGATGCATAAAATCATGAATGGCCAAAAAAAAAAAAATTGATTGATTTCCCCTCTAATTTTTATGGACAAGACCTGTGAGATACCTCAGGAAATGACTTGATAATGGATCTCAAATAAGCTAAAGGAAGTGATTTTTTTTTTTCCACAGAATGCACAATGGCATTCTTACAGTACATTATATTCTTGCAAAAGGAGGAATGATAGACCTGGAGAGTGTGGTCCTCTTGCTTTCAAAATAGTCTCCTGCTTCTCTGTGGTGCAGGATTAACTGGACTGTCCTGGGGACCACAAAGGAACTAGGATGGTGATAATGCTGCTGTAATAAGAATGGGAAACTTGAGCAACTGGAAAGAGTCTTTTTAAACCTTTGGCTTCTTTCACTTCAACACACAACAAGCAGTTGGAGGAGGATCATCTTGGTTAAAGCATCTCCCTCTCCTCAGTGAAGATCTCTGAAGAGATCTTCTTGGAGGGACTTGGTGGTATACTTCCAGCCTTGAAAAAATGAGAGAGCAACCCCATTTGTTTCCTTACCACTGCTTCCAGCACAGCATTTGTGATGTGACTGATGATTGAAGCTGGACCTTTTGCTTGCAGAAGATCTTTTTAGTTTTCCTCCTTGACTAGAAAAATGAGAAAACCATTGGATGGCTCTATTTTACTGTTGCTTTTCACACTACTTGGACAAACAAGCTTGGATTCAGAGCCAGAATTTGAGTTCCCAAGCAGCTGCTTCCAGCCGCTCAGCAGTCCTTGAAGTCACAGTTAATTAGTCCATCAGACTATTTACATCCATATGGCAAAAAGCTGCTTATTAGCACAGAGGCCCCCTACAACTGTGCTCCATTGCACCAGGCCATGAGGCTCTTGTGTGAGAGACAGACCGTACCTGAGTGTTATTTGGAGGGTGATGCTGGAGCAAGAGGATAAAGAGATTGTGGTTTAAAGAGAATCAGGTTAGCTGGAATCGGGTACAACTGCTGACATGTCTGGATCCATGTGCCAGGAGGCACTGGGGAGCTGCAGCCATGAGTCCAGCCATGCCACTGGTAATTAAGATGCCTCCTTTGTGGTGGGAAGGGCATCTTAAGACTGTAAAAAGGAGCTCATTTGGCTGCCTGGCTGTGCCAGGAGCCCCTGACACGGAGGCAGGACCCAAAGAATTTGTTGCACTGTCTCAGAGATGGAGCCCCCAGAGAGGGAGCTGGAGAAACAGATCCTCCTGACACCCTGCCCTATGTGAACAAACGTGTGTGGGCAGCAATGTGTGTAAGGGCTGTTCCTGACAGCGTTCACAGTTGTAGTCATTTGTTGAATGGAGCCCTCTGGCCCGCAGCCGGAATTGCAGCTTAGAGGGGCTCGGTGTGGATCTGCCCACTGCTGAGCTGCCTTTTCACACCAGCTCTGTTGCCTCAAGGATGAGGGATTGCAGTGTGAGCTCTGCGCCGAGTTACTCCAGCATATCTGAGGCTGCCTTAGCTGGCACAAGTGACCTGTGGGAGCGAAGCAGCATTGCTTGAAGGCTTTTTCCCCTGTTAAAACCCAGTTGGGCTCCACCCTTCCTATTTTGAGGGGGAAACCATTCTAGTCTTCATTTCCAGAGTCTCACGGTTTCTCCAGCTGTCTGAAACAAGGGCTCGCTGCTCTTCTTTTACCTCTTATTGCTCCATTAGTGCTGTGGGCTGATTTCAAAGCTTTTGTGGCAAACTGGCTTGCACATGCCCTCAGGAGCAGAAGGCACCGTCTGCCCAAGGAAGCCAGCAGGTCTAACCCCACTCCCTGCAGAGAGCAGGAAATAGCTTTCCGTGCTTTGTGGGCCAAAACCAGTTCAGTTTGGGCATAAGCACATGCACGGCAGGAGCTGGTTTGGGGTGAGCGGCTAATGTAAAAGCTTTCTTGCTTCGTAGTTGGAGCAGCGCTGGATTGCACCTGAAACCATGCGGTCTTCTCTCTCAGGGTACCCATTTCCTACCTTTCCTTACGTGCTCTTCTTTCCCCAGCTATGGGCACAAGGAAATACTGCCTTTTTGTTCTCTTTTTGAGTTTGACTTCCTAATTAAAACAGCGACTTCAGGTGCTGTCTTTCCAAGGGAATCTTAATGCTTCCTGCCATCCCCTCCCTGATCTTGATGTCTTTTCAGCGCTTCCTGCTCCATCTTCCCCCTACTTAGAAAAGCTCCTTGCTGCCAGAGTCTCTGGTGCTAGCTGCAGTTATGCACTTATCTTGTCCAGATTAGTCCTTATTTTTAATTTTCTCTTTCTATGTCAGAAATCGAGAGTGAGGAGGGGAGAAGCCCACAGGCCTTGCATTGAAGCGCAGCACTAATCATATGCAAATTGCACCCCTCCGTTGGCTCTAATAGTTTAATGAAAGGAGATTTTAAATAATATGCACTAAAGTAATAGTTCCTTCATAGGCAAGTCTGAATTGGCTCTTTCTTTTTTGGAAGCACAAAGAATTATTGATAAGGGTTTTCACTCCCCTGTGGCCTTCTCCTCTTTGATCCAATCTTAAATGCATACAGCAAAACCACCCTCAACAATGTCGTCTTTAATAATAGCCTCATGACAAAGAGCCACTGGCTGGGCAGATGACAGCAGCCTCTTTTCAGAGAGAAAGGCACGTTTTATTTTTA